ATATATTAAATGCAGGTCGGACTCTCACAAAGAGCAATAAAAAGTCAAGAGGAACCAGATAAGGCCAGATAAAAGATTATTTTCTGAAGTTAATGGGCAATAATTCGTAGATAAAGTAGTCATTAAGATAATCCCAAAAATTTCCCACCGTCAGAGTGGTGATATCCTTTTAGCGAATCAAAATCTTTAAATTTTATCAATTGAATGACGTTTCAGTACGATAAGAAGATCCTTGCAACCACTCCCATTCGGAGCCTCAATTTAAAATCTCGGGACAGCCAAAATTGCGTGTCTTCCATGGCTAGATAAATCTGGGCCAATTCCAAACAATCCCTGAAATGGGGAAACCATCAATGTAAATATCCCACGAACACTGTTTTCCATACCACATATAACGTAATAAAATGACTTTTTATCAGAAGCCGCCTAAGTCTCTTCAATTGTCTAGCCTTTAAAGGCATAACATTACATATATATATACACACAATTGCAACTAATATAAAAGGGAAATATGTTGGCCTGTTATATACATATGCAATATATTTCAGTTATCATAGTAATAACGCAGCATTTCCTTACCATCAGTGGCTTCACTCTTATCCAAAATTAAATGAGGAGGCATTAAGCATCTGTTATTTGTTCCACCAACACATGAGGATTGATCTGTTAAGATATTGATTTGGTCTAGTGGATCTGCTTTAAACTGTACTTCTATCAAGCAATTGTAGGACAACGTTTTCATTCTAAAAAAATAACATTTTAATGTATTGAGTGTTTTACTTCTGTAGAAGTTTGTGTTCTAATAAATATTTGGAACACAGGAAAAAAATATTCAGCTTAGTCAAAAGACTGTTGCCCAGTTGATAGCTCTACTATATTTTAGGTGGGATATATAAGATATTGCCTGTACTACTGTCTAAAAAAAGAAGGCGATGTATCTACTGGTTTTTCATTGCAGAATTGCATTTCATTGCATTTTTCATTGCAGAATTGCATTTCATTGCATTCATTGCATTTTAAAAAAAGAGAATCAATAACGGTAACTTTTTGAAACACGGTATAAAAATTAGCATTCTGCCAACGCTGCCTACTTGAGTAGCAATATTATCATTGCAGGAAAATTTTTATTGCGAGGGTGGATCAAATATAAACGAGACTTTTGATAACTAACCATTAAAATAGTGCTTTCAAAAAATACAAAAATAATATTTCTCTACATAATTTCTGCAAACTTCAACACACTTTTTTCTACCTTTTCAAAGTTTCTTTAATCTCGGTAGCATAAGAAGAAGTTGGCCGTGTAGTGAACAAATTGCACACAAAATGTCCATTTTGTTGAAAATCTATCCCACCCTAAATGCTTTTGAAGGGAACTGAAAAAACGGTAGTCCTAAGGTACCAAGTTCTGACCATATGAAGGATGATCAACTGTTTTCCAATGTAATGCCAACTTTCCACCCTTTTCGTAAAAATTTAATCTAGGGGTAGCTAAGTTTATGTTTCTATGTGTTATTTAACTTGATTTTCCACTCCACTACATAACGATAAAAGTATATAAAAGTTCAAAAGCAACGCCACTTCTTCCAGCTCTTTTGTGGTGAGGATTTTACAAATGTTTGCAAGATTATCAAATATTCTGAAGGAAATCTTTGGTTTTTAAATGACCACGACTCTATAATAATTTTACAAAAAGCGTAGTAGTTGGCATGTCAGGTAATGCCTGAAACTTTTGTTGCGTTACTGGGGTGTCGCTTTTTTCTGTTGCAACACTTTGCTGATGGGCATGCCACTTGGATCGATTACTATTCTTGAACCACAATTCATGGACCAATGGACTAGTTTGTCTTTCACTAAAATTTCGCAATAATAATTTTCTTTAATTGTTCATGAAGAAAATCAATCTACACAACACCTTGTGAGTCCTTGAAAACACTTGCGAGTACCTCAGCTGCGAATCAATGAGATTTCGCTTTGAATTTGGTTTTTGTTTCTTTCTTTTTTTTGACAAATAGTTAATTTTATTTTTTTAAAATTATTTACGCTTTTTACACCAAATTTATCACGTTTTAAACGAAGCTTGTTTGAATCTATGATACTCACTCGCAACTTAAGATGTAAGAGGACTGATAATTTTTCCCTAGTAGAGTTACCATCTGAAATAAAAAAAGAAACAATATATAAATTGTCATCGAATTGTTAATTGTTGAGCTAATGAAAATATATTTCCACTATGTAGAATCATTTGGAAAATAATTACTTAGAAACTTTTATTATTGCTTGAGAACCTTAGTAAGTCCCATCACCAGAATATTTTACTCATTGTATCATACGAATGGCTATTTAATATTATACGTACTTAAAATATCAAAGCATATTTTTAATAGCATGTTGGTTTTATTACTAAATTTAAATTCCTTAACTATCAACCGTGATAACACGTCATGTATTACATTAGAAGTTACTACTTATAGCTCCAAACTCCAGTTTTACCGAGAAAAACGTTTGAAAAAAGAATCCTAATTTATCGATTATAACATGCGGATTGCAGCTTATTTGATAATATAAGTTGTTGTTGTTCATTTACGTCGCACTTGAGCTGCACAATGGGCTATTGGCGACGGTCTGGGAAACATCCCTGAGGATGATCCGAAGACATGCCATCACAATTTTGATCCTCTGCAGAGGGGATGGCATGTCCGCTTCGGTAGCCCGACGACCTGCACGCGAGGTCGAGCACTTTACGGTAGAACAATTTAACGAGAACCAATACCGCACACCCTCGGTCCCTACGCAGACTGA